CAGAAGGTGAAATCAGCAGGTGGTGGAGCCATCTTTAGCCAATATTGTTCGAGAGTGCATGCGCTCGAGTAGCACATGTAAGCATTTGAGTATAAGCCTCTTGTAAGATACTCATCGCCTCGGTGCTTAAGCCAGAGGAGAGTCGATATGCCTTCTCCCATAAGCTCCATAAACATCTTAGCGTTCATATCCGTTTTCGAGAAACCGACTGATTCTCGTGCTTGATGTTCATGCTGCCCCTGTATAAAGTCCACAGACTTAGCAAGGTGGCTGTCTGCGTGTCCAGCAATGGTAGTCTTGTGGAGGGTACTCCACATGACTTATAACTCCAAGATGGGATGTTGATAGCGCTGTAGCTGTTGGCCGCGCGCAACGACGATTTCAGATTTTATGCCATGAACACCGCGACGCGCACGTATACCATCGGGAATTGGAGTTCCCGGGAAGTTGCGGTGGCAATAAATGAGGTCGTTGATGCGAAGTGCCTTCATGAAGCCAGCTAAGTCTTTCGCAAGTACTAGCAGTGACATTGAGGTGTTTGCATTGCTCTTAACCATGCGTGTTATCTTCTCCTGGGCATCGTTGCTAGCACTTGGTAGCTCTATCTTGACGTGCAAACGCCCAGCTGGAGCTTCCTGAGGTACGGGCCTCAGACTCAGGTTCAGGTATCCGTCCGGAAGTGTTTTGGCGGCTTTGACATGGCGAATATTGATGTATTTTACACCAAGCCAGTGGGGCTGAATTGCGAGAGCGCCCCAGTTGATGTCGAACCGTACCCAAGACAGTGCGTGATGCACATAGCTTTTTGCAAGCTGATGGATATTCTTACTGATTCGCAGAAGAGAAGTCTCGAAGTGGTAACCGCCGAATGTGGTGTTGGACTCTTCGATCTCGCAATCGTAAGGATTTAACACGTAGCTCAGAACGCGGTTGAAGAGCTCTGCGGGCAGAGCCTCTAAGTGGGAGATGGAGAGCGGGCTGTTCATTGTGGCTAGTTAAGTGTGGTCGAGTTCGTTGAATGTATCATGGATGCAGTATAGGCCGAGAAGCACCAGTATTTATACCGTGCGGCGCGAGTGCTTGGTTGCTGCACTTGAGATTTGCCTGACGTATAGGTCATTTGTCTGTGCGCAAGAGAATCCGCATGCACCACTAGGGTTGGCTAGAACTTGTGTCGCATTCTAGGGTTTGCTGCCTATACGCTATTATTTCTTGGCAAGTAGGCAGTATGCAAGACAGTGTGTACTTCTCCTTTAGCTTTTCTTGTAAGATGCGACACAAATTGTAGCTGCCCCTAGTGTCGCTAGGCATATCCTCACGCAAGATCGACCTCCCGCCCCCTTCTTTTCAGGATGACTTGTATGCAGTCAACCTTGGCCATTCCATCTTGACCTTTCATCTGTTGTTCCATGTCCTTGGCTGCCCAAACATGTTCGATATCGCGCATGACGCGTTTCAAGCTGGGGAAATGCTTTACAGCATACAGCTTTTCGAATCGATCACGGACGAATTGGCGTTGTGTGCTGTCGATCGCCTCGCAGCCCGCGGTGAACAGCGGCCACATATGTGCTGAGGTTAGAGGCGAGTGAATATCGACTCGTTGTAGCTGTGTTAGACACTGATTGATATGCTCCATGCTTATCGGGTTGGGGGCACCTATGTCAAGCCAGGTTCGGTAGAGGTAAATGAAGGCGGCGTGGCGATAGGCTTCAGCTGTCAAGCTAATGTCTATGCGCTCTTCGCTGTCCCCCCTCTTACATGCAACGAACTCCATGGCTAATAGAATCTGCTGGATATGCTGACCAGTGGTATTTTCATCTTCCGACAAAGCAGGACTTGTTGGCGATAGGGCTCTTCTCGTCTTGATAGCGTGTTGCAGCTGACTGATCTTTGCAACGACCACTAAGACTTTTGCGATACTTTCTAGCTGTATCTCCCCTTCGATGGCGACAAAGTCCATTTCATGATCCAATAATGGCTGCGAGCCTCTTGACACGGAAGATAGAATATCGTGATATGCAAACAGGCTTAGGAGGAAGCGAGCACTAGATGTGACAAGCCAGCTACCTCCACTGCGCCCTGTTATCATGGCTTTGGCGCCAGTCAGATGGTTCGCGATGTTCCCTTCATCCTCATCGCCAAACAACCGCGCCGAAACCTGCATCATCATGACAGTGGCCAGCGCTGGCTCAGTATCCATCTTCACTGGATCCTGAATCATTTTTTGAAGCTCTTGGATTGCGTCTCGTTGGTGACGGTAGCCTTGTAGGTGAAGTGAAGCATCGTTTGATGCAAATGCGAGATGATTTGCAGCCATTGAGAGGATTGTCGATCTAAGTGCTGGCGATTCGTAGGCCATGGCCGTCAAATGTCGTTGGAATGGTGTCGCGATGCCATTTTGAGGTGAAACTGATAACAGCTTTGAGAGTTGTTTTCCCCAATAATTAAGGAGCCATCGATCGGTTGGAGATATCCCATAGGACAGCACAGGGCTGTTGATGGGTAAAGCAGGCATACTTTTCGCCGAGTCAGGCGATGAGAACAGTACATCTGAACTCGTAACTGCCGATTGTATGGATTCGAAGCTAATATTCGACGCTGGGCTGAGTGCTTGGTCATCGTCGATAGCCTTCTTCTTCCGACTCTTCCGTGGTGGTTTTGCCAATGTATTAGCGGCGTCGTCCTGCCATTTCAGCTTGACTCCATAGCCTCTGCAGATGATATTTAGTCTTGTGCAACGCCCACAAAAAGGCTTCACCTCGTCACACTTATATCCAGCCCCCCTACAAGTCCAACAGCCGGTCCTGGATCTCTTGTGCGTTGCCATCTAGACGTGCGTCGCATCTTCGGTGCTCTATCACCGTAATGGTCATTCAATAGAACCACCTGAAGTTTGGCATAATCGACTAATGACTCAATAGGTCGCGGAAGTGGGCGGTGTCTGAAGTTTGAGAGAACTGCAGAACCATCAGGAACGGGAAGGTAAACGGTGGCAAACCGCATTAGTATTAGCTCCCGCATCCATCGTGAGCCGAGGCCTGCACCCCTAGCAACACGATAGACGCGAACAGCCCATGTTCTTGATCGAGAAGTGCTATTATTTACAAGTGACCTGAACAGCCAACAAGCCTGATATCAACCCTGAAACGGAATCTCGCCCTCCTCAAAAGCCCGCACCCATCTGAACATCCCTTCTGCTGGATCCATGACACAGACAAAGTGTGTAACCTCATTACACACCGGGTACTGTTTCAACCATTTAATGAGTTTCTCTGGACTCACGCCTACTGCTGCATTCTGCCCTCGCTTCGCTTTACGGCCCTGCTCCTGGGTCCACTCTCGCCATTTTCGCTCTAGACACTGTTTTCGCATGATGCTTTCTTCAAGTACTTCTTGCATACCAGCATTGAGAAAGCTGTGATTCCGGCCCTGGGTATGGACGGCCTGATTCTGATGGGCGTGCGGGTTGACTGTAGACTCCAACGATACGTCGTGATTAGTGGTGCTGATAAAGGTTGATGAGCGTAAAATCCTTGCGCTGTGGAAGTCTTTCTCCAGGATGATGGTCTCTGCGTTGGTACAGAAGATCAAATACGCCACTGATGTCTGCATAGTTGCAATAATGTTGGGTGCGTCAGATGCATTATATGGCGGAATTAGTGCAGATGACGGATCCCTTCGTTCTTGTAAAGACTTCTTGGAAAGCCTGTGCCGTCTGCGAGGTGCGCCTGACCTGGGCAGAAGGCAGTCGCGTATGAGGGTGGAGATGCTCGGTCTCTTCCCCAGAAGCACCATGAGAGTGTTCCAGTAATATCTGATGTTAGGTCCTGAAATTCCCCGGGCGTTGTGATAGGGTCGAAAGTTGAGTGAGACACTCAATCCCTTCCTTACACCTGTAAGTGCACCCACAAAACCAACGTAACCAATTGTACTCGCTATCACTTCGCCGCCCACACCCTCGATAAAATCGAATTGCACAATTGCTTGTCTCAGGAGAGGCATAGACCAATCTAGCGTTCGGAAATGCATCATCGTTGTCTCGGCTTCGGGATCCTTTACCATGACTCCGCCACTCGTGCAGCCCATGAGAAGGTCCAGGAAGACATTATAAGCGACGAGTAAGTACATTGGCACGCCAGATGCTTCGCTAATGCCCCTGAGTTCCTCAGTCTGTTCGTCGCTGTGAAGACGACGCAGGAACAGACGGCCTAAGAGATGGAAAACTCCAGTAGGCAACCTCAAGTGCTGAACTGCCTCATCGTAGAGACACGGCATCTTGCGCAGAACATGGGCGTATTCGGTGGCGACCAACACATAGCGTTCGCGTGGCGGTAGTGAAAGGTTGATGGTGTAGATTGAAGGTGTATTGCTTGTCGATTGCGCGGTTGATTCAGACATGAGGAGGTGACTTTGACTGGAAGAAGAATTGGAAGAAAGAGCGTAAGATTGAGGTTTGATGCGAGACGTTCGCGCTCTCAACTGGGGAGGCATGATGTGGTCGAGCACGGGTGAATCTTGGAAGGAAGCCACGCTCGTCCAGCGTTTGAAAGAACAGCTCCGCGACTTCTACAGAGCTATCGGACCTTGAAGAGCCGCTCACGAAGGCATACGCGCGCTGGTGCCTAATGCTAGCAATTATAGCACCTTGGAAGAGCGGGGCGAAGCGCGCCATGATATATTATGGGATGATAGGTCATGACTTATTCAACTCCCGAGGTCGTTCTGAGACATTGAGAGCGAGGAATCTATCGACTCGTCGTGATGGTCGCGTGTAAAGACAAACAGACCAAACGCGAGAGATGAAGCTACTACCCCAGCTTTCAAGCTCTCCACATCCGCACCTCGGCTTCCACAACATGCTTCCCCGCGGGAGTCCTTAGCCGGCGCAACGGCCAACAATGTCGACGTCGAGCATGTTTACTACTAAGCTCGCGTTTTTCTCTCTTCACGCGCATCCTTTCAATTGTCCCAAGTAGTATACTACTCCCAGCTACCTCGTCATGCCGTCAGCAAACCAACCACCTCCACTCGCGGACGTACGCGTCCTCGAGTTTGCAGGACTGGCCCCAGGTAACCTCAAACTGCCTTCGCAAAATAATCCCTAGGCTCTATCTAACAGTCTTCAGGCCCCTTCGCGGGCATGCTCCTAGCAGACTACGGCGCCACAGTCCTCCGCCTCGACCGCGCACCCTCAGCCCCATCCTCCGATCAATTAACGCGGCGCAAAACCTCGATATGCGTGAACCTCAAATCGCCCGCGGGCCTCGCCCTCATCAAGAAGATCATCCCTCAAGTCGACGTGGTAATCGATCCCTTCCGGCCTGGCGTCCTCGAGAAAGCCGGGCTCGACCCTGAAACGGTGCTGTTGAGGTTGAACAAGCGATTGATTGTAGCTCGCATGACGGGCTTCCGTCGGGATGGCAAATACAGTCAAATGGCAGGGCACGATATCAACTACATTGCTGTATCCGGCGTGTTGAGCATGTTTGGCAGAAAAGGGGAAAAACCGTATGCGCCTGGCAATCTCGTGGGAGATTTTGCGGGAGGCGGCGCAATGTGTTTCATGGGTATATTGCTTGCGCTGCTGGCGAGAGAAAGGAGTGGCTATGGACAGGTTGTCGAGGCGAACATGGTTGACGGGAGTGCGATATTGGCGACTATGCCAAGGTTGGGATTGAAGACAGAGGTCTGGAAGAGGGAGAGGGGCACGAATATGCTAGATGGTGGAGCGCCATTCTACGATACGTATGAGACAAAGGATGGAAAGTACATGGCAGTAGGCGCTATTGAACCCCAGTTCTACGCCGCTTTACTCAAGGGCATGGGCCTGGAGCCGTCGGATCTACCTGGTAATAGGGACGACAGGGCGGACTGGCCAAAGTTGAAGGACTTCTTCGCCGCCGAGTTCAAGAAGAAAACGCGCCAGGAATGGGAGGCCATCTTCGACGGAACAGATGCATGCTGCACGCCCGTGCTGACGCAGGGTGAACTCGAGACCCAGGGCTTCGATCAACGGCCGGCTGTAACTCTCAAGTCCTCACCTGGATATGCGATACACGACGGTCATGATGGGAGGTCGGCAGCAGAGGGCCAGGGTATAGGAATGGATGGCAGTGGATGGAGCGAGAAGGGCTTGAAGCCTGGCAGCGGGGGCGAAGATACATTGACCACGTGGATGGGATGGACCAAGGGAAGACATTATATCGAAGACCAAGGGGGCTTGGTTTGGAAGGACTCTGCAAGGTTATAGTCATGTCATATTCTCTGCTCATCATTTGTTCACATAGGCGCTTCTTGTATTCGTAGATCGCCAGTCAAAGGCTGTATATCTTCAGTTTACACATGTATTCATACAGCCCGCAGTATGTCGTCTCATTGCTTAGGCCCTCGCCTTCCTCGCTTTTGGTTTGCTCGCCTTCTTTCCAGCATTCCGGAGCCTCTTCCTCTCTATGTTGGCTTGGATCCTTGTGCTCCTCTTCCTCCAGGCCGTCCATCGGTCACCCGGCACAAACTCCTTGACCTGCACACCCGCCTTCTCGGCCGCACGTCCAATCTGCCAGTTGGCCTCACGGTACGCGTATCCCTTGCCAGCGGTCAAGCTCAATCCCTTCCGTGTCGCTTCGCGCGGGGTATCGCGCACGCTGCTCGGGCTGCCTGTGCCGTCGCCAACTTGTAAATCGGTTATGACAACTGCGTCCGCAGAAGGATTCGTTGATGTAGTGATAGGGACGGCGAGCATATTTAAGCGTCTCCGTCTCGCCGCATTCGGTGGGTATGGAAGGGTGTGGTCTTTCTCGAGGGCGACACCAATGTATTGCCTCTTTGGGTGTTTCTTCGGGTCACGGTAGTATCGTACGTAACCAGACTCTGTGGCGAAGATGCAGTGGTCGCGGCCGAATTTGCAGTTTTCGCCGGGAAACCAGGCCGTTCCTCGTTGTCGGAAGATGATGTTTCCCGGAATGACATACTCTCCTACGATGCCGTTAGCCAGGCCCCTAACTGCTTCTTCAAACTGTAGGACATACCTCCGCTCTTCTTTGCTCCTAAACGTTTACCAGGTCCATCTTTTGCTCCGTTGGCTCGTCCTTGGGCCTGATGCGCTGAGTGCCTTACGAAGGAGAGAACCGGGGTGGGCACCGAGGCGCCATTGGCCACGCGGAGGGCGTCGAGAACACGTGTAGATGGCGCGATGAATGTCGTGGCCGTTGCCAATGATGCGCGGACTGGCGCGAATATTCGTGGGAGCAGCATGACCGCTCTGGTGCTGGAGAGGCGGGCCTTCGAGTGCACTGCGACTTTTCGAGATGCTCGGTGGTCTGTGCATGCTCCGCAGGCAGCCCGACTGCTACGCCCGCGCCCGCAGTCGCCATTGCTAGTAGCATCACAGCGAGTACAGAGCGATCACGAATTCCACTTGCTGACATAAATTGCATGCATCAACTATAATATGAACAGGCTCAAGACCAAAATCTAGCAAGCTGCACCCAAAACACCTTGCACGTCATGGCAGGATGCCAGACCCAGAGAACACGACCTTGGAAGTCTAGCCGCAAGATCCTCCCAGACACGCATCCATCTACTGTACTTGGTTGACGATCTCTTGTGCCTTGGAAAGGCTCTCCACCATCTGCTGGCAATCCTTCCGCCTCTTGACAGTGTACTCTGACTCCTTCAGTAGCTCATCGAGCTCGTCCGTCTTGTACATGTTGGTGAGAAGCTCGCCCTGCATGTTTTCCTTGGTCCATTGAACGAGGTTCAACATGATGGCCTTGGGTACCATGTCGATCATTGTCCGACGAACAATGTTGAAGTAGGAGGTAATCAGTAGTTCTGTACATCGTTAGTCTATGTCCGACATCAACGCCAGAGGCGACTTACTAATAACTTCGACTTCTTGCGACTCCTTCTCGGAGAGGGTACCAGAGGCCTTCAGTGTAGGTGGTGGTGGCTCCATAGCCGCCATCTTCTTCTTGTTCTTGCTGGCGAAGAAGGAACCAAAGAAGCCACCACCCTCGTTAGGATCAAGTGAGGGAGATATCGACCGCGGCGGCACGCTAGGTGGAAGAGGCTTTCCAGTCTTGGGATCCACTTGTTGAGGCCTGCTGCTGTTGTGTCGCTCGTGTACGATGGCCATGGCGCGTGAACCATTGATGAAGTCAGGGTGACCAGTGTTGATGTAGACAGACTCCATGGCAACAAGGTCCCTTACGAGCTTGTTGGTGGGCTCCATAGCCTTTTTGAAAAAGCTGACGACGACCTGGTGTAGCTTCTCCTTTAAGCCCGGGTATCTTCGGAAAGCGTTCTTGTTGAGAAGCTGGCTGAGAATTCGGATCAGCTCATCGTAGACGAGGCTGACACACTTCAGACTGGGTTCCTCTAGTCGCTTAATTTGTTGTTTGACAATGAGCTCGAAAGCAGTAGTACCGACGAACAGCGCTGGCGATGATCCGGAGGAGTTGTAGAGAACCGTCCTGATGTCCATGTCTTTGACCTGGTCGAAAGGATCGACGGCCTTGACACCGTTGGCGTATAATTCGTGGTAGACGAAAGAGATACGAGCACCGCCAGACAGCTCTACTGCAGAAAGCTCTTGGTTGTTGCCCTCCAAGACTCCTCTGTATTCGTTGGTGAACTCCGTGATCATGTTCAAGACGATGTTGGAGCTGTTGCCGAGCATAGAGTTGCCTAGCGAAGCAAGTTCTGCCTGGTACTTTTGTAGTGAGGAGGCGATGCGGGCTTTGATATCGGGGAGCGTTTGCTTGATGTGCATCATAAGGATCTGTAACTGTTAGTTGCTGTGCCGAGGTGTATAGAAGAGACCGAGCCTACCAAGTTCAGCTTGCGCGCAAGGTAGGGTGTACCACAGTACGCTGCCTTGTTGCGATATGCCTTGTGGTTCTCGAAGTATTGCCTTTCGTGCTCGAGCGCGTACGAGATGGCCTTCTTGTTCTCGATATCCCTCTGTCCGCGGTTGACGACTGGTACGTAGCCCAACCGCAGTGGAATGATACGGCCAGCGAGAATGTCCACGACGTCGGTGCCCTCGTCCATCAAGTCGACCTTGGTCAAGACACCGATTGTCCGTTGTCCTTCTGGGTCCACCTCGCGCGCCAGCTTGAGACCATCCGAATTGGCCAAATCGGTATTGGCAGCAGTGACAGCCAGGATGATTGCGTTGGGCTTGCTGATTTGCTTGAGGACCATCTCTCGGATCTGACGCTCAATATCCCTCGGTTGGTCTCCAACAGGCACCTTTGTTAGACCTGGCAAGTCGACCAGCGTCAGTGTGAGGACGTTTGGCGAGTATATCCTCAAGTTGATGGGCGCCGGCGAAATACCCGCATTGCGACCCGTCTTGGATTCCGTCTCCCTCACAATCTCGTCCCTTATTTTGCCAAAGTCGTGAAACTTCTGGCCAGGAATGTGCAGGAACTCGCCCCACTCGTCGACGTTGTTCTCCTGGTCTGTTGTCTTTGCTCCCTCGGTGGTGCCGTTCGCTTGCGAGGATGCGCGGTTGATGAGCTGGAGAATGAGCGGTCTTCGGGTGACGATACCGGTTCCTCGGGGCAGGCTGGAGAGCTATCGTTAACCTATATCTCTCAGGCCATGGCGCAGCGGTGGACTCACAAGTCTCGTCCAACAATGTTCTCGAGCACCGAACTCTTTCCACTAGACTGCGATCCTACGACGGCAATCTGGGGCAAGTCTATGGGGTTTTGGACCTGACTTAGGCATCAGTATGCGTCTTTGGGCTGTTGGTGTAGCCAGTTGCGCGCGGGCGGGCGGAGGGCAGCGACGTACTCCGACTGTGGTGAAGACATCCTGGAGCTTGTTTACGAGAGTAATCAGCCCCGGGTCGTTCACGTTGATGCTGTATAACCATGTTAGCTTTCCGCAATGCGAGGGGCGCTCGAAACATGTGCGTACGCATTTGGGTTTGTCGCCATGGTCGGCGAAGTGTGGGTCGAAGTGGTGCGGATGCCTTCAGTATTCGTGTGTAGAAGCGGGTTTGGGTGTTGGTGGTATCAAGGGCGCTGAAGGCGAGAGTGTCTGAGATCTGGGGTTGTTGCTTGCGGGTTGCGTAGCTGCTGCAGGTGCCAACGTCGGAGAGAGCCCAAGCTTCGATACGCCACACGACTCAGCCCCACGAAATATCCGCGCGACTTGGGGATATCCATGGGCTGCGTACGTCACCAAGCTGTCACATGTATCAAATCAGAGATGTGCTCAACTGCTCCTGTGTTCCGCTAGTAGTCATCTAGAGCTACTTCGATATTTTGACTACCATGATGTCGTTCCTGGCGCACATGATGCGCATTGCGGTCACAGGACGCGACACGGCGTCGTCAGCGGGTTCAGGCAGCAGTATTGGTATCTTGGTACAATTCACATTCTACCATCTTGGAGATATACTAGACAGACACGCTACGGAGAAATCGCCTTCAGCCACATGCATTTACTCGTCGACAACCGATGCAAACTTGTCGGTCATCTTCTGCAGGAGTTCCTCGTACTGTTTCGAAGTCAGCGTATGTACAAATCAAAGTGTCACGTCCTGTCAGGCTTACCTTCTTGGTGACCTTCTCCTCTCCGTCGCTGGGCAGCTCGAACTTCATTGAACGGAGCTGGCTCTGGATTTCCGAGGTCGCGTCGCGAACCTTGGGCCATGCATGTCCTTGGGAGACGGCCTTCTGGGCCTCGTCGTGGAAAGCCATCATGTTCTTCATCATCCACTCGGTCTTCCATAGCGGACAGAACTGGTCATAGTCCGAGTAGCCGTTCTGCTGCAAAAAGTCCTCCTTGAGTAGCGTAGCCACATCGAGCGTAATTTTGTCACTATCACCCAGCGCGGATTTACCGACAAGCTGCACAACCTGGTCGAGATCGTCTGACGTAGTGAGAAGCTCCTTGATGCGGTCGCGGAGACGGGGAAATTCCGGGTTGTTCTTGGCGTAGTACTTGTCGAGCGGGGTTGTGTACTTGCTGTAACTAATCGATGTGTTGACAGATGGGAAATGCTTTCGCTGAGCAAGCTTCTTGTCGAGACCCCAGAAGACTTGCACAATGTTGAGTGTGCTCGTGGTGACGGGATCCGAAAAGTCACCTCCTGGAGGACTGACAGCACCGACAATCGACACACTGCCAAATCGTTCGGGGCTACCCAGAGCCTGAACACGACCAGCACGCTCGTAGAAAGACGCAAGTTTAGCACCGAGGTAAGCAGGGAAACCTTGGTCAGCAGGCATCTCTCCGAGACGTCCGGAAATCTCACGAAGAGCCTCAGCCCATCGTGACGAGGAGTCAGCCATCATGGCCACGTCTTTGCCCTGGTCGCGGAAATACTGCAGGGGTAATCCGAGTCAGTATACGTCTCACGTGTATGTCGAGCAGTTAGAACTTACCTCGGCAACGGTGATACCAGTGTAGATGGAGGCTTCACGAGCAGCCACAGGCATGTTGGAGGTGTTGGCAATGAGGGTCGTTCGCTTCATGATGGGCTCTTTCTTGCCGTTGACGTCGATAGTGAGCTGGAGCAAGTCAGCATTTCGTACACACAACAATCCAATTTCCATACCTCTGGGAAGTCCATCAAGACTTCAGCCATCTCGTTTCCTCGCTCACCGCAACCCACGTAGACAATGATGTCACTGTTGGAGAACTTGGACAAAGACTGGGAAATGACAGTCTTGCCGCATCCGAAAGCACCGGGAATGCACACGGTACCACCCTGAACACTGGGGAACAGAGAGTCGAGGACACGTTGGCCGACGATGAGCGGCTGGTCGGATGACATCTTCTCGTTGGAAGGACGAGGCACCCGTACGGGCCACTTGTGCATCATGCTGTACTCGGTCTTGGTGCCATTGAAATCAAGCTCCAAGATCTTCTCGTCGACGGTGTAGCTGCCCTTCTCGGCGATGCGGGTAATGGTACCCTTGGCACGGGGAGGCAGCAGAACCCTATGTTCGCTGAGCAGACTGTTCTCGAAGACAGTACCGAAGACGTCGCCACCAGTGATGTGGTCGCCGACCTTGAGGGAACCGGGTGTGAAATCCCACTTCTTCTTGCGGTCAAGAGCGGGCAAGTTGATACCACGGGGAATGTAGATGCTGTTCGCGTCGTCGGCGATGCCCTTGAGGGGACGCTGGATACCGTCGTAGATGGTCTCCATAAGACCAGGGCCCAGCTCGACGGACAATGGCTGCCCGGTCCTGTATACGGGGTCGCCTACGGTTACACCAGCTGTGCGA